GTAATATTTTGTTTGGATGCCATACTCATACCTGAATGACCTTCATTGATCTATGGTTGATAGTTGTGATTGAAGTATGAGACATGGTATCATTGCATATTGAATGATGATGTGCCTTGATTCTACAGACCCTGTGTACTGGTAATGGATTCATTGATGGGTGCTTCTCGTAATCACACAGTCAGACAACTCAAAGAGTAAGTGTTCAACGACAGAAAACGTAGAAAGAAAAACTTATTAAAGTTGCCTCACCACTTTGTATTATATGCAGAATAAAATCCAATGCCTTATTAAGCTTTTGGGATGGGTGCTATAGTGCTAGTGAGGTTGCTTACGAAAGATTAAATCCAAAACATTTTTTATTATCTGTTTTATTGTCTTTGTAGTCTTTTATCCAAGTGTTTTTGTCCTTGTTCAGGCAAAGTCAAAAACGAGTGCTTATAGTTCAGTGTGTCTGCACCCATGCATTTGTCCGTCCGGAAGTGTATCTCAGGCATACCTTGATCAATTTTTTTACTTAACACCTCGTCTGATATATATGCACATGCTTTTATTTGACTATGCTGTTTACTTGCTGTGAACGTGATATCATTCATTGCCTATTGTTAACGTGTATATCCATTATTAAAAATACCATGATAGTGCAGACATCGTATAATTTGTCTCGACAAAATTTTACCTACATGTTGCTGTACTATTTGGGAACTCTTTTTGATGTCTGTATTATTGTAATTTCAGTTATTTAGTTGTAGAATGGGAAAACAGGAAAGGCAAGAGTAGAGTGTTCAAACGGGAGAATATAAGAGGATCTGTCGTCAAAGTACCACAGCAGAATAACTTCAGTGATTGTGGCGTTTTTCTCTTGCATTATGTGGAGATGTTTTTCAAGGTGAGTATGGTGGACTCAATTGACCATTTCCCGTTTACTGCGAGAATCACGCGTTATGCATGAAATCGAATGTAAAAACAGGACAAACATAGTGTCGTAGTGTCGTCAAACATCGCGTGGGATTTGACAAACGCGAAAGTATTTTGGGGGACGTTTCCATGCTTTATAATGTGCTGTACACATTTGATGATAGACAATTTCGATTAAGTGAGGGTATTCAAAAGCAATATTTCTCTGTCGAAGATCGGCCGGTTGATGTGAGCTACGAAATAAAGAAATTCGAGTTCAAAATCAAATCGTTTGATTTTTGCGGCAGACGTTCGACGCACGTCTTTCATGCATCTCGCGAGATCTCGCAGTTGAACAGGAAATCACCTATCGTGATTCAATAGCAGCATTGCTATCTACTGGCATGTTCACAATTTGATGATATCATGGAATTTCATTTATTCTGTGTTGTAAAACTTGGTAGAAATTTTCACTGCGAAATTTGTCCCTCTCGCGAAGTTAAATAGTTTTACAGTACATTGTGTTGAAAGCTGGTGGTTGTATGGAGGAATATATATATATATATATTTATATATATATATATATATATACCTCACTCCAATTGTGTTATGGTTATGATATTTGAAAGATAAAAGATCCTAGGTCTCCTGCAAATAATCAAAAATGACCCAAATGAAATACTTTTTGACCAACAATCAAAATTCAATTTGTAATTACAATTGGCCTAAATTTACATGAAAACTAACTTCAGAATGCCAAGAACCAGGGAATCCAGCAAATGAATTCTGTATAACTCAAAACTTGACAGAATCCAATTTTGTGCACTGGCTGAAATGTAACACTGTATATTGTCAATGTTGAGTTTCAAAATAAAACATATCTTTTCATCAAAAAATGTTTGTTAACAATCTAGATGCTAAATTGATTCACTTGATTTCAACTTGTATTTCCATATTATATATTTTTAGAAACCTTTGCAAAGTTTTTCTCTGCCAATAAGCACACTGAAAGAATGGTTTGATGGTGAAGAGATACCAGAGAAGAGGAAATTCATTGCAAAGCTTATAACTCAACTTCAAACAGACCAAAAAACTGCCAAAAAAACAATATGAATTGAATTTAGACTGGCTGACTTTTTTGTGTTTGAAGTCAAGTGTACTACAAGCTGAATTGAACAGTGTAATTAAACTTGTTTTGACAAACATGTTTAGTTGAATATTAACTATATTCGTTACCAAAACAACTGTCAAAATGCTGACATATACCATTGCTTATCAAGATAATATTAAAGGAGTGACCATGATCACTGTCTCATGAAATGCCTCTGCTAATCAAGTTAAAGAAACATCGTCTGAGATCAACAATCTTCATTAAACCATGTTATGTGTTCAAGCTATGTCTGGCGGAAGAAGTTTGCAAACATTTTTATATTAAAGAGAGCACATTATTGCTTCATGCAAAGACTTTATTCTTTCATTGTGTGTTTCTTATACACTAGTATGCAATCATTTTGTGTCATATTCATCATTAAAAAACTGCTCATATCAGAAATGTTGAATGGCATGTACTTATTTTTGTGGTCATAACAGATTTACTGTGCTCAATAAGAGAATTGACTTGGTCTAAATATTTTAATATTTAAAAATATCTCCCAAGGCTTACTGGACTAGCCTAGCCCAGCCTAGCCCAGCCTAGCCTAGCCTAGCCTAGCCTAGCCCAGCCCAGCCCAGCCTAGCCCAGCCTAGCCCATCCCAGCCCAGACCAGCCAAGCCTAGCCCAGCCTAGGTCATCCTAGCCCAGCCCAGCTCAGACCAGCCCAGACCAGCCAAGCCTAGCCCAGCTTTGCTTTATTCTGTATGTTGCTTTATTATCCACAGGGTTATATTTTGGCTGATTACTAAATACATGAAAATAAGTTAATTTCAGTGAATATGTACAATTGACATTTAAATGTGTTGTTTCTTTCACAATCCAATGAATTTAAAACATAAATGAATATCCCTGCAACTACAAATCAGATCAGATAAAATTAAATCAAGTCAATATTTTTCCAAAGTAAACTTCAGCTACAGTTGACAAAATAGTTTTTTTTATAGTACAACCCCCCCCCCCCCCCGGAAAAAATGCTCATGAAAATTTCACTTTTTGATACAAAACTAGAAGCAATGTCAGATTTGGTCTGTTTGGTCCCAGATTTAGAAAATATGGACAAATTTATCCAATTTGGTATAGAAAAATTTGGCACTCAAAATGTCACAGTAATGTTTTCAAAAGTCCCTGTGGGTGTGCAGTGAAAATTGAACAACAAACTTCTTTGATGTGCTATCTCATAGAAAAACAGGTTGGGGGGAGGGTATATATTTAACTTTGTATATTATTAATGACATGCGTCGTAACATTTCCCATCTGGGCTGCCAATTAAATAACCAATAATTTTAACCCATGGTGTATCACTCAAACAGATTCTCACATACTACCTCTTGTACTGTAATTGACTGTTGTGGAAAACAAAATTGAAAATAAAGACTACTGTATAATCCTTATATTGTGAATGTTTGCAACGAGAGATCATATTTGTATCCTGCCTATCTGCAACGAATGACAGCCTCATATTATCCACGTAACCAAGGCAATGCCCATACTTTTCTATATTTAAGTCGCGATCAGTCGTGAACGCAAGGAAAATCAGAATATACTATTTGTAGAAGAATTCCTAATATTTAGTTTTACTGCTTATTGATTGTGAATGTTTATTAATGTTTATTTTTGTATTCATATCTGTTTGTGTCTATTTCAACTTTACTTATGAAACGTGTCGATTACTTTTATAACACTGTTATAATTATACAAAAACAAATAATGCAGGGTTTTGGAAATGCCTCTATAATGATGAATAAATAATATTTATGGAGATTATAATTTTTCTGTTCAGCTGGTGTTGAATTTATTCTCTTGTTCACCATGTTTGAAGGGTTGTTGTTCATTTCACATAGTACATATGATTCTGCTCACTGCACCCTACCTATGCACTCTGTCTTACTGCACTAGATCTATCCAAGCTGACCCAACATGCTAGCCTAGTACACTCGATCGAGAATACAAGCTGATTTTGCCCCAACAACCTGGCCCAGCACACTAAATCTATCCCAGCTGACTCTACCCAAACTACCCAGTGTAGCACACTTGAACCATCCTGACTCCACCTCAGAACAATTGCCCTGTGCACTACAATCATACTAACTGACCCTACCCAAGCACCTTGTCCCAGCACACTAAATCTATCCCAGCTGACACTACCCAAACTACCCAGTGTAGCACACTCGAACCATCCTGACTCCACCTCAGCACAATGGCCCTGTGCACTACAACCATACTAACTGACTCTACCAAAGCACCCTGTCTCAGCACACTAAATCTATCCCAGCTGACTCTACCCAACGCCCTATCCCGCGACATTAGATCT